ATTTGCGAACGCCGACTAAGGCACAATAATCTTAGTCAACGCGTTCGCCGCCATACTCGGAGGCATGGGTTTCGACTCTGAACACAAAAAACCATTAGAATCCTAGCAGGGAAGCAAAATATACACATGGTTTATAAGTCTGAATAGCTGTCGGTTTTTACACAGATCGGTCATCAAGACTAAGTTCAATCCAAATTGCATTTACAAGCCGTATGTGAGTGCAAATCCGGGAAAGATAAATTCGACTTTAATTTGATGTATTCTGCTTACTGTGCTGTTGTCTCACTTTTGAGGTTCCTATAAAAGTTCATTGTTGGAGTACTATTCTGTAATTGATCCGTGAATTGAGCCACCTGTTGCAGCTCTCCAATGGACTATTTACCTCATAGCTCACGATTCTGTACTTTTTGTTCTCATGCGTTGTCTGATCTGTAGTCTGCTGTGCCACGCGAGGGCGGTGCACAGCACGCAGTGACAATAAGCAAGCTAACTTTCAATTTGAAATCCTCGCCACATGTAGCTTTACCTTATACAACGGAAACCTTGCATGTTTGTGTAGTGAATTTGTTGCTGTCTTTTCGCTACCTATATAATCGAATGATGACGGTGTGGCGAGGAGAAGTAGAAAACTGGAAACAGTATCAAGTTGGAGATCCCAAAAGTTGTTAAACTAACTTTGCACAAAAATCGAATAGATGCACGAGCACCGTTGTCGAGGCCACCTCCTTGATTCGACTGACCCACATGAACTCTCTCTCTTCTACCTCTAACCAAAACTTCAGAATATTCCGATGGTGTCACACGACGTCAGTTGGAAATTCTCAAACAGAACTTTCGACAAAACACAACAAGTGTAGTGGACCACATGCCAGAGATGAAATCAAGCAGTAATCCCGGGCTTGTGCGAGCGGTAAGTTTATGGCGAATTCAGTTCCTATCAATTAACACCAAGCTGAAAACTGGACAATTTGTTTCAGCTACGTATGTTGCAAAGTACCCGCCGTCAAATAAACAGGCTTCACTATTAAACAATACGGATAGGACGTAATCGAATGTATAAACAAATTGTCACTGTATTTTAAAACGCAAATATCGACGATACAACCAAATTGATCAGTGTCTATAATGGCAAGCATCGCAGGTTTTGTGGAGTGTAATAAAGCAGCTGAAGATGGCTCAGAATTTTCATGCTTTGATCTAGGTCAGTGACGATTGCACTTATGTAATATTCAAATAAGAAAAAAGTGCAACTTCGAAAAGTTTATGCGAGATCCCCGTTTGAACAACTGGACAATAAGCAGTGAATCTACGAAAAAACTCAAACCGAGGCGCAAAACTTGGGGATGCAAGATCTCACAACCGACCCAACTTCCGCAACCTTCACCGTGAAGCTACACGATCGGTAAAGGATGACCCTAAACGACATTCGTGTGAATTAGCGAAGAGGATGAAAACAGAAATCGCTGTTAGAAGCTTTTCAAACCGCGCATATTATTCGAGGAAAGATGCCATCCCCATCCTCTTTGTCAAGAGACGACAGTAGCCACCTCATCCCAACAAATCTTCACAAACATCTTTAAGTCGAATTCATTCATCCTAGACTTTTCAGCAGACGAGTGAAATTCTCTTAATAAACGTGTGAAAAAGTTTGAGAGATTTCGTTTGATTTTAAAAGGATATTCGTCACACAGAGACTGAAAAGTTCCGGAAGCAGTACACAGCTGTTTCATCTACTTTAGAAATCATCCGCATTTTATACTTATCGAGCCCACCGGGATTCGACATTTTAGAACCATGTCATGAAGTTTTGGCGTGTTAATTACAATGCTAACCAAAACACCCCAAAATATATACTTGCCAAAAGAGGTTAGAAGAGAAAACGCATATTATATCCGATGGGCTGACTTGTCATGTTAATCGCTCGTTTTAATTTACTGAACGGCTAAGACTGTTTTCTGTCGGTATTTTCTCAAGCGATGGTGACCAGAATAATTGTTCATATTTACTTTTCAGCATTCAGATAGTACGGGAAAGTCACGACAACCTTACCCTAGTACATCGCATCAATCAACATTAGGCGTTTCCGCTTTATCTTTGGTTGACCGAAGCTGGTGTCCACAGAGCCCAGAACCAAATCGAAACTCGGAGGCAACACATCGGGCGGGCTACTCCTATGAAGCTCGTGACTGCCATCAAGTGAGTCTTCGAGTCGGCCAACTCGTGATCATGCTTCAAGAGTACGATGCTTCCGGGAACCGCGAATGGTGTCGAGTACAAGTACTACCCAGTGAGGCCATTGGATTCGTCCCAGCAAGCTACCTAAAACCTATTTGACTTTTTTTCTAATGTACCCTTCATGGTATTTATTTTCACAACCTCAGTACTGGTGCGCTAAAATCCGCACTTTCATTCTCTTCCACTAGTGGCCTACTGATTTTTTCGGTCAAGATCGTTTGGTTTGATGACGACGCCACATTTTGCCAGTTACTGTTGGCATTTTTGGGACACATCGTTTGATAAAGCTCACACGCCTACCAAAACCTGGTCCACTGTCTAAATCCCAAAGCGCAATACACTCCTGAACTATTTTCTATAATTCCAGATACTTTACAGAAACAGCTGCTTGTGGAATACGAGTCTCCTGTTATTGTGTTTTCTGATTGGTATAACAAAGTTTGGTCAACTGCATTAGTGCGTGACTAAGCGTTGGACATACGTAGAATGGTTTCTGCTCAGTTCTGTATCTGCAGATTTCATAATAGGCGCTGAAGGAGGGCAACTAGCCAACTTTGTGACAAACGATAGCATTTTCCTGGTAAAGGGAGTATTTGATAGGGGCAGCACCACTAAACTGAATAACTGTCATGTCCCTGTTGCACCTTTTACCTCTTTGGCCCTCGTCATTTACACAACTGCCACTTGTTGCTCTAAGATAACTCTTCCAGATTGGGCGGAGATCTGCCATCTGATACAACGGTTGCGAAGGAAACCTATCAAACCAGGATGAATGAGCTCCTGATGCGCGACCAGCAACCACGCACAAGCATACTACCTCTTTGCACTTCGTTATGTAAATGCCCTCCATGTACCGCCGAGTGACGCTGAGCACATCTCTTGTAATCTGTTTTAATCGGGGCTTTAGCCATACTGAGGCTTCATGATCATTCATGAATCCGGCTTATTCTCCGTGAGGGGTTAGCCGTAGTTAAGTACAAATGCTTAGCATGTAGCAACCAAAAGTCTCTCTGAATTGACGCTGCGCCCTCAGCCCCATACCTCAAAGGTTCTGCGTGCACCAACTAAAAGAAGAAAGGCAGTTAATGGGAACATTAATGAGAGATCAAATAAAATTAACCAGTTAGTATAGATATTCTTAACAGAATAACTTTTTGGTAATGAAAAAAAAACACTTTTTCCCTTCTTCAACACACTATCGGTTGATGAACAGTGCAATGGATGAACCTCAAAGTCACAAAGACCTACTGTTTACTTAAGATCACCGGCAATTCAAACCCTTGTGTTTAGACTAATTGCTTAAGGCCGTACAAGGTTAGACGTTAAATTGAGTCAAAACACAGTGGAGCTGTGTCCCCGTAAGAGAAAAATCACAATTTTCATTACTTTATGATATCATACGCGCACAGAGACACTGATATTATCATTAACCCCATCACCGTGCAGCAAAATACAATGAAGCGAATTTTGCTGACAATAGCCAAGTCAAACAATCACAAAACACTCATTTCGAGTGTTACATATAAACTTACGCTCCTAACGGATTCCGAAATCAGGTGCTTCAAATGAAATGATGATAAACCAGTGCCCTCAAACCGAAAGTGTTTGACCCCTGGCTGATATCTATGAGTATCCAGTTTGAGAAAGTAGAAGCATCGATGAAGTAATCATATTCAATATACATTAAATAAATGAATGTCTTTTTTACTTCCTTTTTCTATCTATTGAATAAACAAATATACAGTCAACTTTCAGGAAGGAGGCTGCGGCCATACAAAGGCTGCCTAGGGAAAACACAGATACAGTGAAGACGAGCGGCAGTGGAGCGGTTTTAACCCGGGACACCCAGGTCACTAGTTGGTGACCTAACCACTTTGTCACCACCGCCCAGCGCAAGAGCGAAAAAATGAAGGAGCCACTGACAATTGACCTTTATAAGTATATCTAAAAAAGCTTATAAAAATTATTCTTCCAGATCGCTGGTTAGTGACGACTACTTTTTTTTACCTCATCGCTGTTTTCCCCGAGCAAACACGGAAGGCCAAATGAGCTTACCGAGATACATACATGTATGGCATACATCGATACAAGCTTGATCTTTGAAAGTCATGTACATCCTTCAATGCCCGATCTTCACAATCCAGTTGTTTCACCACAAGATGAAAACGAAATGGCGCTTTGGTCTCACAGTAGTTATGCTTGATATACGAAGTCAGATCGCATCTCGAAACAACCCCTATAGTGAATATGGAAAGAAAAAGCTGACAATCGTGGGAAATTAACGACAATAATAAAAAAAAATTATAAATGCAACAAGTTGGGAGGTTTCCTGTACACATTCACGTCAGAGAGAAGTTAATTGTTGACACCAGGACATCAATAAACTGCTCTGAATGAGTTTGGTCAATAATGGGGAACAACTGCTGTTCTCGTCCAAATCATTTGACGCATACAAGGAATCCGTACACTTTCTGCTGATCAAGGCCAATAACTGATTGTCCGGTAGAGCGGTCGCTTGACCCGTTTCGAGTTGGGCTCCCAGAAGCGATAAAATCTGAGTCAGACATACACGACGTACTGTGTTCTTGATAGCCAACGGATCTATTGCTGATAGAGGTGTTACATTCGGGCCGGAATCGGAATGTGGTGTCGCATTAGAAACCCAAGTTTCCACGAATTTCTGTTTCATCTCGTCTTCCCGTGGGACAATAGTGGACGGATTATCATAAAATGGCGTATTTGAGCGGCATACTGTGTTGTTTACTTCCAACGGAGGTGTTACCAACTGATTTTCTTTATTCTGATTGGCAGACAGTGAACGCAGGAGTGACTGATGTCTTCTTCCTTTTATATGAAGCGCGATGGACAATCTATCAGGAAGTGGGACATTGCATAAGTGACAAAAGTAAGCCATTAGTGGAGTGAACATTGCAGAACCTTGTGAATTATCTCCTGGACGGATGAACGGGTCATTTAAATCCATCGGCGTTATTAGCTCAGGTTTGTCAGCACTGTGAGCTGCAGTGGCGGAAAGAATCGAATTTCTATCATCAACGTCAGTGAAATTCTTATCGGGTGCAAAAACTTGTTGTTGCATTCTGGCATTTACTACTGCCATGTGTCGCTTCCCGGATTGATGTTGGCGAAGTGAAGTCATGGACGTCAATTTGACTTGACAGGGTTCACAAATCAGTTCAATTTTGCAATCTTCTGACTGTTCTTCGTGTGGTGTAAGTGACAGTTCTCTCTTGATTTTTTTCGCAGGTATAGTGTTAGAGTCAATGTGTTTCATTGGAGAACGACAGCCAACAGAAGACTTTCCATTAGACGCAACATCCGATTTAGAGCAGAGTGATGGAACTGGAGGGTCCAAATTAACTAGTATGGATCTTGAGAGATCGATAGGTGACGTGACTTCTTGATTGCTGTGAACGGACGCCGGTCTACTTTGATTCATACCCGATCAACCTGCATGGATCGTATGGAAATGAGAATTTAGCCGATGAAACAGTTTATAATGAATAAAAAATCTAAGAAGTTCCTTTTTGATGAAAAACTGAATCAATAGAGAGATAATGGATTATAAAATTTCTTCTGTGTTCTGGGAGAAAAACAATGCTTCAATAATCTATGCTGCGCTGTGTATTGTAAGAAAATTGATGTTTTGAATAACAAAACTATTCGTAAGTAACAGAAAACTTTATTTGATCATACGGCAAATTTCGTCATGTACAGAACAAATTAAAGCTGGATTGAAAAACCAAGAAGCATTGGATAACTGTTTTGATCTAAATGGGTTTTCTTGGTAGTACGAATCCAACGCCCCAAGTGGGGATCGAGCCTGGAAACTTACAGGTGAACACAAGCACACTGCTTGACCACCGGGCGACTGACTAGACCGCTCTTCGTTTTGCCCAATGTAACACAAATCGTATGTTCGAACCTAATGAGACGCAACCGGGGCGAGACAGCGGTCTCATTGTCATCATCATCGTACAGTGAAATACCGTGAAGCGAACTTCACTCCCCGCTGCGGTCTAGTGCATCCTAGCTTTTCAGTTCATGCTTCATTTGCTCTGTACACGGTGAAATTCACCATGTGAATAAAATTATTCATTTTTTTGCTACACACTTGACGATGATGTGGTGTGATGAACAGCAGACGGGGAAAACCCCATAGTTATGAGGACCTGCTGCTTGGTGACGGAAACCGGTAACTTAAGGCCCGAGACTTGGAGTGGCGAACCACATAAGGTCCCGATAGGTTAGGTTAGATGTGG